TACCTCCTGGCCCCGGTCTGACCCCTGGACGGGCTTTCTCATAGGAAAAGCTGACCCATCTGGCCCTCCCTTGTCACGTGTCAGGCATGAATAAGCCACTGGTTCTGGGCATTTCTGGTAAGCCCCAGGGACTGCAAGTGGCCATCGCCATCTCTGAGGAGAGCTCTGATCACAGGTGAGCCCAGGGCTGGGGGTCTGGGGGTGGCAGTGGCCTGAGGGCTGAGGCAGCCACGCCCGGGACCAGCACTGTCGGGTTGGTCTACGCCCCTCTGAGTCCTGCAGCCAGGAAAACAGCACGGTGTTACTGTGGCCACTCACCACTCCTGTGGGGACAGTTCCCTTTACCCTGTCCCTGCCCTCTGTGTGGTTCCCCCCACACACTTGGAGGCGTGGTTCCCCCCCGCACACTTGGAGGCATGGTGCCCAGCAAGGCAGAAGATGGCAGGGGACAGGGCTGTGGGTACCCTGGGCTTGCCCACAGAAGGCCCCGCAACTGGAAGCCATGCCCCTGGCCAGGGACGGTTTGTGCAGTGTTTGAGGCCTTTCTCAGCATCATGGGCGGGCGGGAAAGGTGGGTCTGTGGTTGGTAGCTCAATGAAACAGGAGTCCGAGGCTGAAGCCTGGTGCCTGGGCAGCTTCTGTACACCGTCCAAAGATGGCTCTCTGGCCAGGGCCAAGGGTGGCATGTTACACAGTACCAATGGGCACGGGACAGTGTTTCCAGCACAGAGCAGTGGCCAGGCCACCCAAAGGAGCTCCGCCTGGACTTTGGCTCAGCGGTGCCACTGAGGACCCGTGTGAATCGCCAGCTCATCCTCACCAATCGCTCTCCAATACAGACCCCCTTCTCCCTCAAGTTTGAGTACTTCGGGAGCCCCCAAAACAGCCTGAGCAAAAAGACTAGCCTGTAAGTCTTGCTTCATTCACTTCCCGGGGCAGATGAGGCTGGGTGGGGTGTACCCTGTTGAGCCTCTGTGTGGCTTAGGTGGCCAGTGGCTGGTCGTGTGAGAAATGAGAGTGTGTGTTTTTACAGGTAGACATGGGGTCAGGCAGAGAGGAAACGTCTCCTGCTCTCCACCGCTCAGGCCCCAAGTGGGCCCGGGGAGAGGCTGGGATTGTGGCCCCTTCTCAGCCTGCCCTCCTGGAGTGGAGGCTTCTAATGGACCACGCAGATGGGCTTGTGGTGAGGGAGGAGTTACTGTAGGCAGGACCGTGCCAGCCAAGAGGTGGGAGGAAGAGTTCAGGAGCAGAGAGTCTTCAGGGACCACTGATAGCCTGCCTGGGCTGACCTGTGGAGTGAGATGGGGAAGGGGTGCCCCAGAGACAAGATGGAGAGTCTAGGCTAGTCATCAGCAAGCTAAGGGCAGAGGCGAGATCTAGAGTGCTGCTCACACATACACACACACACATACACATACATGCATATACGGAGGTGCATACATGCATACACACGTATACATATGCACACACACATACATACACATGTACACGTACACACACATGCATATACAGAAGTGCACACACATGCATACACACGTATACATATGCACACATATACATATACATACATACATACACATGTACACATACACACACACACAGGTGTGCCAGAATCAGCTAGCATTGGCTCAGAAGAACTGATGGTTAAATATTCAAGCATTTTGAAAATCTCTAACTTGAAATCATGCATTATAATGTAATGGAGTGCCCACTATGTGAACACCTAACCCCCTAATCTAGTGAAGCAAGAGAGCCCAACTTAGAAACCACTGCTGTAGGTGGAAGGGGAGCCATGAACAGCTTGTAAGGCATGAACTTTCTATTGTGAAAAGCTAGTGTCTACCCAATACTGGACAGTCGACAGCAGGAAAAACCAGAAACGGGCCTGTTGTGGAAGTCTAGGCTAGAGAAGGGGGTGTGGGCTAGAGATGGGGGGTCTGGGCTAGAGATGGGGGGGTCTGGGCTAGAGATGGGGGTCTGGGCTAGAGATGGGGAGTCTGGGCTGGGTTTGCATCCAGGAGTAACCTTGGCACAGAGCTGTGGGCACGGAGTCCTGCTTCAGAGCCCTCCTGGGTGTCTGGGGAGGTAATCCCTGTAGCCAGCGGGTGGCCTGCTGCTGGGGATGTTTGAATGGTAGGGGTATAGTGGGCGCAAAGACCAGAGAAGCAGGTAAAGGAAAGAACTGACCAGCTTTCCCCTGGGAAGAGCAGGCAGAGCCCCCTTCCCCTGCTGGGCACCTGGTAGAATGCTGGTTGCTGCAGAACCTGGCTCGGGTCTTGGGACAGGCTTGGCTGACTTGATCCTATTCTTGTGTCTCCACTTGTAAAGCCCTGACATGCCTCCTGCCCTGCTAAAGACGGTGCGGATGCGACAGCACTTGGCCAAGCGAGAGCAGCTGGGTAAGAGCCACCAGAGTGGGGCTGCTGGGCCCAGGCCACAACCAGAGCCAGGGTTGGCATGGCCTTCTGTGGATATGGGCTGGCAGCTGCCAGGGAGCGGGACCGGGACAAGAGACTGCTCTCAGATGGCCAAGGCTCTCTACCTGGCAGTGCCTCTTGCTGTTGAGGGCACTTCCCTTCGAGGGCCTGGATTCCATTTGGGACGGGCGGTGGCTCTGACGGAGGGCTTCCGCAGGGACCTGGCCCCCCAGGGAGTAGAGAGGCTGACCGCACAGTGCCCTGAGCAGCTTGTCCCTCAATTCTGGCTCCCAGGAGGGCATATGTAGCCTGACCAAGGAAAGGCTAGAGGGTGGCTCGTCAGGGGCAGTGCTTTGCTAACACCCAAGGGTTTGGACCTCACTCCCACCTCCAGTTCCCTAAATCCCCCACACCTCACGGTTCTTTCCCAGATTTTATGGAGAGCATGTTATCTCACGGGAAAGGAGCTGCTTTCTTCCCCCACATTTGCCAGGGCATGCTGGGGCCCTACCAGCAGCTATGTGTTGACATCACAGGCTGTGCCAATATGTGGGGCGAGTACTGGGACAATCTCATCTGCACGGTAAGGGCACACAGGAGGGCAGTGGCCTGGGGGTGAGGAGTCCGCCCCAGCCCTCGCCTCCAACACCTGGGCCTCAGCCTCTCAAACCTCACCAGGTTGAAACACAGTGCCCACTGAGCTCGGGATGGGCGTCCGTGTCTGAGGCAGCCTCAGGTTCTGGCTGAGGCATTTCAGGCAGGAGGGGTCCTCATGAGCAGTAGAACCTTCCACACTTTTTCCCAGGAGGGGCAGGGCTGGGGCCATATCGAGGAGGGCAGAGAAGACAGTAGGCTGCCTGCCTGAGCCAGGACCCAAGACCTGGGGTAGGGAGTGTGGAGTGTGGAGTGGAGGGACAGCAGCAGCCCCCTAGAGCCATGCTCTTGCCCCGCCCTCGGTGGGGCTCACCCAGGGGTCCATTTAATTGCTCCAGCACTCAGCATGAATGGAGCACCTACTGTGTGTGAGTTCCTGTGTGGCCCACTGTGCTGTGGAGGATACAGGGATGAATAAGGTAACCAGCAAGGCAGCCCTAGTTCAGTCTGGAGAGAGGAAACATTCAGGGTTATCCTACCGTTAAGTTGTTAAATAGATTTTCATCAACTCCTTAGTAAATTGAACAGATTAGTTGTAGTAGATATTTGCGTTCTGTGTGTTATGTGTGACAAAGACTTGATCGTGTTCCTCTGCAAAGGGCTCTTAGATAACAGGAAGTTTGGGAAAAGCATCTAAGTGGGCAAAAGATATGAATAGGCAACTCCAAGAAAGACAAATACAGACGGCCAATAAACGTGAAAATCTGTCACCACCACTGACAGTTAAAGAAATGCAAAGTAAAAGGCCACAAAATACTGGTTTTGACACATTAGCATGGTGTAGAAGCTGTTGGTAAAGGTACCGGGGAGCTTTGGGCCCCTGCTCCGTGTCCGTCAGCGGAGGAGTGGATGCAGGCAATGGCCCACATCGGGAGGGGAATTCTGCACAGCCTGTTACATGATGCTGTAAACTTAGTAAAATTAGTCCTATACTGTTGGCCGGGCGCAGTGGTTCATGCCTGTAATCCCAGCACTTTGGGAGGCTGAGGCAGGCAGATGTCTTGAGCTCAAGACTGTGAGAGCAGCCTGGGCATGGCGAAACCCCATCTTTATAAAAAATACAAAATGAGCCAGGTGTGGTGGCACGTGCCTCTGGTCCCAGCCGTTCAGGAGGCTGAGGTGGGAGAGTCAGTTTTTCCCGGGAGGTAGAGGTTGCAGTGAGCCAAGATCATGCCACTGCACTCCAGCCTGGGCGATGGAGCAAGACCCTGCCTAAAAAATGCCCAATGTATCCTATATTGTTAAAAGATTGTGAAAGAAAGTCACGTGCAGCACGCTCCCCGTTTATATCTGTGTCTACACGTTTTTCGTGTTGACTGAAATGTTAACAGTGAGTCATGTTGCAGAGGTAGGATTGGAGGTGATTATCACACTTACATTTTTTAAAAAGTAAGATTTATTACTTTTGATTAGCAGAGAAAAGTAATAAAGTTCTTTTCATTTAAAAGGTAGAAATTTGATCAAAGGGACTATGCGAGGCCAAAGAGCCTCAGGCTTGCCGGGCATAGCGGCTCACGCCTGCAGTTCCAACACCTTAGGAGGCTGAGGCAGGAAGGTTGCTTGAGACCAGGAGTTTGAGAGCAGCCTGGGCAACATGATGAGACCCTGTGTCTATAAAAGAGAAAAAAAAAGGGCCTTAGGCAGGGGCTCTGTGCAGGCTGCCTGGCCGGGAGGGGGAGCGGAGATGCAGGAAGCGGGAGAGACGCCCGAGTGCTGCACAGGGAGGCTGGGACCAAACGTGGGGCCCCTGGGCAGGCGGAGGCCCTGCCCAGAGGGGATGGCAGTGACATAGGGCTGGGCGTGTTTCCAGGTGGGAGACCTGCCGCCGGCAGTCATCCCAGTGCACATGGCAGCGGTGGGCTGCCCCATCAGCTCCCTGAGGACCACCTCCTACACTGCTGACCAGGCCCAGAAGGAACCAGCCATCAGGTGCTCTGTGCTCGGTCTGAGGCTCTGCTCCCTGGTGGCCCCTGACACCCTCTGGCCTTCAGGCTGGGCTGCCCACGTCGGCTTCTTACTCCCCAGCTGGCATGGGACCACTGGTGCCACCTTATAGGAAGGCTCCAGGCCAGGACTTCCCTGAAGGAAGGTGGCCTCAGGGGACATGGCCACCACCTGCACATCTCCGAGGGATTTCGGGGGGGGCGGAAGTGGCGAATAGGCAGGGTGGCTCGAGGTCGGCACCAGTCCAGGTGAACTGGAATTAGCATAGTCTGCTCAGGGTGGGTGGGTCGATGCTGGGGCCCAGGGCAGCCCCAGAGCACAGCTCACCTGGTGCCACCTGGGGAAGGCACCAGACCCCTGGTCTCAGTGATTCTTAGGTGTGGCGTCTCCCCGTGCCTGAGCCCCCAGCCCTAGCCCTCCTCCCTACCTGCAAGGTGTGCGCAGGCTGTGGCTGTACTGAATCCGGTCTGCCTGCCTCCAGGTTCGGCACCCAGGTCTCCGGAGGAGACACAGTTACCCGAACACTTCGCCTGAATAACTCCAGCCCCTGTGGTGAGACACGCATGACATAAATTAGGGCTCTCGCCACAGGCTGTGCCTTGTGGTGAGCCAGGCTGGAAGGGAAGTTAGGGCTGGGGAGGCTAATGGCCCATGAACAGGACCCAAGAGTCCAGCCGCCTGTGGTTACCGAGGTGTGGATGGGCCCCCGGGTGCCCTGGGTTCATCAGGGTTGCTATGTGGAGGAACAGGCACTACCGGGGGACCGCTTTCTCATTCCTGCGGCCAGCAGGACCTCAGCTGCCTGAGAGCTGCTGGGGACACAGCGGGGACAGGATGGCAGGGTCTCTGCTGAGGGGCATCCCTCCTGATGGGTGGGTCAGACGTGACTGTGGGCTGCAGTGTGGGACTGCGTGGAGTACAACTGAAGGGGAGGCTGGAGTGCTGGGGGGAAGGTGATGAGGGGGCCAGGCTCCCCGTGGGCGGGAGGCAGAGTGCAGGCTGAGCTAAGAGGAAGGGTAAGCCGATGTGGCCCAGTGGGGCATGCTGGGGTAGACAGTGTTCTGGGCCTGAGGAAGGGCTAGGAGAGGAAGCTGGCCACACTGAAGAGGGGGCCCTGGCCACGCCAGTCCCTGAGCAGGGCTGGGAACAGGATCAAAGGCAGGAGGGGAGGGGAAGATGGGTTCAATGCAGGCAGATGTCTAGGTTTGGGACAGGACTTTGGGGACTCCTCAGTCTGGGGGCTTTGCGGAGATGAGGTGGGGCCACCGGCTGGGTGTAGGGAGGCAAATGGAGGTGTCGGAGGAGGGCAGGGACAGTTTGACATGGTCATGGTGCAGACTGGAGAGAGAGCAATGTGGAGCCCCAGTTTAGACTGGGGACAGATTAATGGGGGTGGCAATCTGTTCAGCTGGAGGACTTCAGGTGATAGAACCAGAGGGCATAAGCTGTAAAGCCTTTTTTTTTTTAATGAGAATTAGCTGGAAGTGGCATTACAGAGGCAGAGAGGCGCTTTCTCCACCCTGGGTTTGGGAGAACAGCTTATCTCTGTCTGGGGGTGTAAGCAGGGGGAAGCCCAGGGGGGTCGTCTCCTCCTCCCTTATTCCTCACCCTGCCCCCCACATCTGCCCCAGACGTCCGCCTGGATTGGGAGACCTATGCTCCGGAAGACAAGGAGGACCGGCTGGTGGAGCTGCTAGTGTTTTACGGGCCGCCCTTCCCACTGCGGGACGCAGCTGGGAATGAGCTTGTGCGCCCTGACTCTCCTGAGGGTAGCTGCCTCCTCTGGTCCCCAAGCCCCTCCCGTTCATCAGAATTCAGCCATGAAACTGACTCGTCGGTGAGCAGGGATGGAGGGGCAGGTCAGGCTGGCCACTGAGGGCCACTGAGGTGTGGCCAGCAGGTTAGTGGAACCTCAGTGACTGTGTGAACCTCAGTGACTCCTTGGTGACAGGTTGAGGGCAGCTCCAGTGCCAGCAGCGGGGCAGCACAGAAGCTCATCTCTGTCATCCTGCAGCCACACGAGGGGGTGCCCTCCGGCCGCCTGTACTCTGTCAGCCCCAAGCAGGTGGTGAGTTGGGGTAGGGGCTGGGAGCTGTCGGCACTGGCCGGCCAGGGGGCATGGGATGGTGCTAAGGTGGCTGTATCCACGCCAGGTGGTCCCTGCTGGGGGCAGCAGCACCATCTACATCTCCTTCACACCCCTGGTGCTCAGCCCCGATATCCTGCACAAGGTGGAGTGTACTGGCTACGCCCTGGGTTTCATGAGCTTGGACAGCCAGGTGAGCTCTCCTGGGCTGGGGTGGGGGCCGCAGCCACTGCCCGCTCCTGGGTAGCATGCTGCCTGCTCAGCCCAGGGATCAGCTGTGATCAGACTTGGGATCCGTAGGAGCAAAGGGAGATTCCAGGGAAGAGGCGTCGCCTGCAGGACTTTGCGGTGGGACCCCTGAGACTGGAGCTACATAGCTATGTGAGGTCCGCACGGTGAGTCTGCTGGGCCCCCATCTCCTTCCATCCCCACGGGGGCACACCTCACCAGGCACTGGTGGGGCCAGGCAGCGTTCTCTGAGCAAAAGGATGGGCATGGCCGGGAGAAGTCAGCCCAGGGAAAGGCTGGCCCGAGGCTGGATGGGCAGTGGGGGCCGCCAGGAGGCCCCAGGCGCCTGGTTTGCCCCAGCAGTGCCTGTTGCTGGGCAGGCTGAGTGTGGAGCTGGACCACAGCGGCAGCATGGAATTCCGGTGCCAGGCCAGTGACCTCATTCCCCAGCGGCCCTGCTCTGGGGTGAGTGTGCTGCCACCCTCTGGCCCTGCCAGCTTACCTGGGCCTCAGCTGTCTCTGTGTGCCCTTCTGGGACTCGGGCCTTACAGTCTGAGTCAGTCCGTCCGCCAGCCCTCCCAGCCCTCCCCTAGAACCATGGGCTTGAAGAGAGAGAAGAGACACAGCCCCTGCCTGCTGCCTCTGTGGCTGCCCAGGTGCTGAGTGAGCTGGTGACTACCCATCACCTGAAGCTGACCAACACCACGGAGATCCCACACCACTTCCGGCTCCTGGTCTCCAGGCCCTTCTCCGTTTCTCAAGATGGGGCGAGCCGGGTCCACAGAGCTCCTGGCCCTGGCCAGAAGCAGGAGTGTGAGGAGGAGGCAGCCTCAGCGGGCAAGCAGCTGGTGCTCCGAGCACAGGAGAACATGCTGGTCAGTGGGGGATCTGTGGCCTTCGCCTCAACAGCACACCCGCACGTGCGTACAGACAGCACCCCTGCACGCCACCCTCACGTGTTTGTGCCCGGACACAGACTGCACACCTGACCCTGCCATACCCTGTGTGAACACTCCCACCAGAGACACCACATTCAGCACCTCTGCACAAGAGGCTTACACAGGCACGGACATGCCAGACGTCGTGTACACGCACATGCGTGCACGTGCTCCAGAAATGTCCCCAGACTTCCCTTTCCCTCCTGGTTCCCACTGCTGAGATGCTGGCAGAGGCTGGTGCATTCCTGTGAGCACCTCCCTTTCCCACACAGACACCCTCCTCCTCCTGAGCAAGCTCAGGGTTTCGTCCCAGCTCAGGGGAGCCCATGGGGTTGCCATAATTGTAAAGCACTCCAGGTTCTAATGTCATTTTCCCTCTTCTGACAAATTATCAGTCATAATTGGATCCCGGATTTTCAGAGTTGGTGGGGTCGGGAAGGTCTTGGGAATGCCAGGAACTCAGTGGAAACCATCCACTTCTCTGAAGCAACTGGAATGAAGGCTGAGTGTGTGCACACCCATATCTGCGCAGCGGGCTCCCAGGGTGCACAGGGGCAGGCCGAGGGTAGACAGCCTGGCAGGGTGCCTCACCTGTCTCCTACTTCCCCTCCTGCTTCAGAGGCTCTCTTTCTTCCTCTCCTTGGAGGGCTTCCCTTTATGTTATGCTGTGCTCCCTTGAGCTCTGCCAGGCCCTAGCCTCCCTCTGCCCATTTCTGGGTCGTCTCATCCATTTCCAGAGCCTCAGTGGACAGCCATATTCTCTCTATCCAATGTGTAGTGAGGGCCTGCTGTGCACCAGATGCTGCACTAGGTGATGGAACTCCCCGAGAACCTCACCATGGAGGTCGGGGAGACATATGGATCTGCAGAAGGCAGATGGGCACCCTTGACCCACTTTGCATTTGCTCCCTTCAGCGAGCTAAATGGAGGGGAAGGCCCAGAGCACAGCCAGAGGTTCCGTTGCACCAGAGCCTCCCAGGACACATGACGGTTAGCTACCAGGCATTAAAAGTCCTTAGCAGCTCTGGGGAAGCCCAAAGGTCCCAGAAAAAGGACACCGCATAATGGTGCCGCATCTCACCCTCCATGTGCTAACGATGCCCAGGTTTCTGGCATCTGGCTAGAATCCTCCCTCCCAGGCTCTAGAGCCAAACTCCTCTCATCCAAAGTGAACTCAGCGCCCCCAGCTTGTCCTGCCCCACACCTGTGCCTCCTTTTTGTGGTGGCATTTCATCTCAGCAAATACCACCCCAACCCCCTTGCCCATGCTCAGACCCCTGGCATGCCTTGTCATAGACCAGTTTCTCTGTGACCAGGCCAGCAGGCCCTGTGGGTGCCCCCCCACATTCCTCTCAGTGCCGTTCTTTCTTCATCCCTACACCCAGGTCTTGGTCTAGGACAGTGGTTCTAACCCTGGCAGTCAATCAGTGGCTTTTTCTTTTTTAGATAGATCGGGTCTTGCTGTGTCACCCAGGCTGGAGTGCAGTGGGATGATCGTGGTTCACTGAAACCTTGACTGCCTGGGCGCTCAAGCAATCCTCTCACCTTAGCCGCCCAAGTAGCTGGGACCACAGGCACATGCCACCACACCCAGCTAATTTTTATATTATTTGTAGAGACAAGGTCTCATTATATTCCCCAGGCTGGTGTTGAACTAGGCTCAAGCGATCCTCCCACCTCCGCCTCCCAAAGTGCTGGAATTACAGATGTGAGCCACTGCTCCCAGCAAATTAGTGCCGTTGACAAAGCTTGTTGAAGGCAGAAGCTCCCAGACGCCACCTCCACAGGTGTGAAGGTCTGGGTGAGGCCAAGAATTTGTATTTTTAACAAGTGCCTCAGTCGATTCTGATAAGCTTGTACCGAGGACCTGTGCTGGGAGCCAGGAGTCCCAGCTCCATCCTGTCCAGCCTCAGCTACAGCCTCAGCCCCTGGGCCGGCATCCTCTCATGCTCCCTGCCTGGTCAGTGACCTGTCAGAGGCTCCTGACTGTCCTCAGCACACAGACCAAGTCCTTCCTCAGCTGTTGAGCCCACCCACAGCCCTGAGCATCTGAAGGGGTAAAGGGCGGCTTGCTCATGTCCCTTCCCCTCTAGCCTATGACTCCTGAGGGCAGACATGCCTTGTCCCTGGCACTAGCAGGGTGCTGGGCAGAGTAGGTGCTGGGCAGTGCTTGCGGAATGCAAGCACCAGGTGGGGGAGCTGCTGGGCTGTTGGCTGAGCAGGGCTGGGCCCAGGAGGGAAGGAGGACGGAGCTCCAGGTGGGTAAGCAGCCACCTGCCCTCTGCAGCTGGAGATGATACCATGTCTGCATCTGCTCAGGTGAACGTGTCCTTCACGCTCTCCCTGGAGCTGCTCTCCTATCAGAAGCTCCCGGCTGACCAGATGCTGCCTGGGGTGGACATTCAGCAGAGCGCGAGTGGAGAGAGAGAGATGGTGTTTACGCAGAACCTGCTCCTGGAGTACACCACCCAGACCACTCAGGCATGCCCCAGGCCCGCCCACGTGTGGGAAGGCGGAAGCGGGCTGGGCTCTGTTCTGCTGGGGCCAGAGGAGGAAAGACCTAGCAGGGACCTCAGACATAAGGAGCCCCCACTCCTTTCCTGGGGCTCAGTCTCCCCTAGAAGAGGCCCTGTGTGCAGAGAGATGAAGGCCATCCACCCTCCTCTGCCTCATGAGCCCAAAGCCAGATGAGGGGCCAGAGTGTGGGAAATCAGGGAAGGCTCCCTGCAGGAGGTGGCATGTGAAACCTGTACACCGTTTAATCAAGGAAGGGAAACACCTTGACGACCAGGCCAAAAGAATGGCCTGATGGGTGGGGGCAGTGAGAACCTGAGGCAGCTGCCAGGGACAGCCCTGGGCTTTGTCAGGCTTCAAGCACCAGGACAAGCACCACAGAGCAGAAGGTCACCGGGCCGTGGTGCAGACGCTAAGCTGGGGCTTCTAGTGAGGAGTGTGAAGGAGTGGCCTGGGGAGGACTTGGGAGAGGCGGGGGCAGGTGGCTGAGCAGTGGAGCCGAGGTGCCCCAGCGTGGCACCTAGGCAGCTGCTGGGGCCGAGGCAGTGGGACAGTGCATAGCATCGCCTGAGTGTGGTACGGGGCAGCCAGGAGGTAGAGCAGGGCACAGGTAGGGCCTGAGGTCACGGGACACAGACAGATGGTCCAGGGCCTGAGAAGAGCTGAGGGCTGGGTCTCGGGGCCACCATAGGAGGATGGGTGAAGGAGGGCAGCCCTACCAGCCAGAGTGCAGGGCCTGGAGCTTTATGAGGGAGGGAGGCAGGGATAGCGGGGAAATGCATGGCATTACCCTGGCCCTTTCCCTGCGCAGACTCCAGCCCCTGGCCTTTGAAGTTGGCACTGGCCCCTTGCCAATTGCTGGGCACTTCCCCTGCCCTCCTCAGGAGCATGAGCACTTGGGGTCAGCAGGGTTCCCTGCGTCCCAGAGGCCCTGGCTTAGGCTCACCCAGAGTGAACAAGGCGGTCTGGGCCCCCACAGGCAGTGCCCCTGCGGGCCGTGGTGGCCGTGCCTGAGCTGCAGCTCTCCACCAGCTGGGTGGACTTTGGGACCTGCTTTGTGAGCCAGCAGCGAGTCCGGGAGGTCTACCTGATGAACCTGAGCGGCTGCCGAAGCTACTGGACTATGCTGATGGGTATGTCCTACCCTCCCACCTACCCACTGTTCCCCTACAGGGCTGTGCCAAGAAAAGACCCCCAGGAAAGGGCCGCTGTGCCTGTCCCTGCATGCTGGCCCCCAGGGCTGGTACCACGTGGTTTCTGCAGAACAGCCAGTCCCCCAATCCCACATGATCTCAGGGCTGCCCTGCCCTGCAGTTCTGAGCAAGACCAGAGGTGCAGGCCTGCGGGTGGGCGAAGTCTTCCTGTAGTGGTACACGGGACTGCCTGCACTCATGTCTTCCCTTCCCTTTCGTGCAGGCCAGCAGGAGCCAGCCAAGGCCGCTGTGGCCTTCAGGGTCACCCCAAACAGTGGGCTGCTGGAAGCACGATCCACCAATGCCCCCCCAACCTCCATTGCCTTGCAGGTTTTCTTCACTGCCAGGTACAGCCCCTCCCAACCTCCCCCAAGCTGCCCACAGGGCCTGGCCCCCGCTGCCCAGACCCCTCCTAACCGCAACCCGCACATGCTCCCCACAGCAGCAATGAGCTGTACGAGTCCACAGTGGTGGTGGAGGGTGTGCTTGGCGAGAAGTCCTGCACCCTGCGGCTCCGGGGCCAGGGCTCTTATGATGAGAGATACATGACGCCTCCCCAGCCCTCAACCCCAGGCCCCAGCTGCAGAATAAACGTTGCCAGGGATTAGGAGCAGACCTTCAGCACAAAGACACAGACTTGAGGCCCTCTGAACAGCTCCTAGAATGGAAGAAGAACCCCCTTCCACAATGGTCTCAGCCTAGGCCTTCATGTTGGCTCAGAGCCACACCACAGTAGAGACCACTGCACTGAGAATCACCACACACACTGCACAGCGAAGACCAGTATGGCAGAATTCCCCTTGGGAAAAAACCACAGCCACTAAGATAAATTCTTGCACATTTACTATGTCTGTTGCGCTTCTCATCCATGAATTCGCCTTGCCCTGGGAATTAACCGTGGCCTTGTGGCCTGGGTGACCTAGGCTGCCTTTGTCTTGCACAGCTAACGAGGGTCTGATGGGTGGCTCAACACCCCACCCACTCCTAGACCATGTCAGCCGTGTTCACATTTTCCAAACGAGTTGAAGTGCCTTGATCTGTCCGCCGCCACCACCACCAGTGCTGAGTTTTCCCGTGCGGTTCTGCTTCTGCAGTGCTGCTGCCTTGCTGCTAGAGCAGGTCTGTGTGGGCGGCGCCTCCAGCCTGGGCCTCACTCAGTTCCCAGGGTATTCAAAGACAGCAGCAGCTCCCATTCCAGTCCCGATGCACATGGACACTACTCCATATGCCCTGTGAAAACAAAACGGAACTGGCTGGGCAGAGGCACCACCCAGCTATCTCCAGACCAGGCTGAGCCAGACGGACTTCACGACGAGTAGGACACAAAACCGTCAGACCAGATCTGTGGGCACATACACAGTGGCAGATGCCAACTGCAGCTAGTGTCCCTTTTAGGGCTGGTCCTCAGGGAAAACAGAGATCATGCCCCTGCATCCTCAGTTCAGGGTGTTTGTGTGTGCATATTCCCTTCCCTAGGGACCGCTCATAATCCCAAAAGACACAGTCCCAAACATCATAATCCCAAATGTTGAAATCCTAAAAGAACAAAATCCCTAAAGTCTAAAATCCTGAAAATCACAATCTTAAAAGATCAAAATCCTGAAAATACAATTCTGGAAAAAACAATGTGGAAACCTGGCATAGTGGCATCTACTTGTAGTCCCAGCTATTCAGCAGGCTGTGGCAAGAGGATCACTCGTGCCTAGGAGGTCAAGACCAGCCTGAGCAATACAGCAAGACCCCATCTTAGAAAAAGACTTTTTAAAAAGATTCATTTAAAAGATATTTACATTTTTAGGCCAGGCGCAGTGGCTCAAGCCTGTAATCCCAACACTTTGGGAGGCTGAGAAGGGCAGATCACTTAAGGTCAGGAGTTTGAGACCAGCATGGCTAACATGGTGAAACCTTGTCTCCACTAAAAATACTAAAATTAGCTGGGCGTGTTGGCAGATGCCTGTAATCCCACATACTTGAGAGGCTGAGGCAGGAAAATTGCTTGAACCCAAAAAGCAAAGGTTGTAGTAAGCCAAGATCACGCCACTGCACTCCAGCCTGGACACCGGAGTGAGACTCCATGTCAAAAATATACATATATGTACATTTTTTAAAGGGGATTTATTTGAGAAACGAACAGAGAACACTTCCCAGGCTACTTTACACAACACAATAGGTAACAATTACATATTTTAGCAAGCATAAACACTCAGGTATGCTAACAATAGTCACAGGAGTATAACAGTTATAAACAAACCGTATTCATAAATGGGTTAAAAAGCAAACTCTGTAAATGGTGGGTAATCGTGTGCACCCAGCTTCATAACTGCAGTCATATGAACACCATGATAGAGAACCTATGTCTTTTGATGAGACTGATCAAAAACTGTGATGGAGCCAGGCCCTGTGGCTCACACCTGTAATCCCAGCACTTTGGGAGGCCAAGGTGGGAGGATCACTTGAACCCAGGAATTCGAGACCAGCCTGGGCAACATAATGAAATGCTCTCTACAAAAACTTAGCTGGGTGTAGTGGCACGAACCTACAGTCTCAGCTACTCGTGGGAGGATTGCTGGAGCCAGGGAAGCAAAGGTTGCAGTGAGCCGAGATGGAACCACTGCACTTTAGCCTGGGTGACAGAATGAGACTGTCTCAACGAACAAACAAACCTGTGATGGGTCACCACCGCATATGCAGTGACCCGAAGAACCAAGATCTTGAGAAATTTTATCTTTCACAAATGCAGGTACACAAACAGGACACCTCTTCATTTACTGAGGAAGTTTCAACATTTTTATGTACATGCACAAAGCTTACAAAGTCAGTGTGATAAGGCACTTTCATGGAATCAAACTTCTGATGTCAAAGGCAGAAAAAAAAGTGTGTCCCACCTCTGTATTGGTTCTCTCCAGGGCCCCAGGCAGTTAGATGGTGCCTGCCAACACTAAGGGCGGATCTTCCCCACCTGGTCCACTCAAATGCATCCTAACCTCCTCTACAAACACCCTCAGACACACTCAAAATAATACTCGGTCAGGTTTCTAGGTGTTCCCAAAGTTAAGTCCATTCCTTTTCAACTTAGCAGCACTCACAACTCCTTAAACCATACTTAATTTCCAAATAAAGGCAGTAACGAGGTAATGGTTGCATCACATGAGTTACACCATGTAACACGGTGACGATGCACTATCCTGCATGCGATGGAAAATGTACTCATCCCTTCCCTAGAATTCATAGCATGAATTCAACAATAGGATTTCAACATTCAGGATTTTAATCTTCTGATATTGTGACTTTGGGGATTTTAGTCATTAGGGATTTTTTTTTCCCCTTGACTAGTCAAGGGTAGAAGTAAGAAGTACTCAGAGTAAGAACAAGGAGTTTGATCTGTAATTGAACAATCAAGATAACACACTACCTTTGGACCAGCCAAGACCTTAGGGACTTTGATCTTTTGGATTTCAACATTTGGGATTTCAGCATTTGGGATTATGGTGCTCAGGACTGTGTCTGTTGGGATGATGATCCAAAGCCCACCTACCTCTATCCCCTACCCTGCAGGTGCCCCAACTTGGGTATCCCCCCACAACCCCCCACCAGGAGCCAGCCTTACCTCTTCCCACGGCGCTTCAGCTCGTTGAACAGCGTGATGACCTGTCGTGCCCCAGTGCAGCCCAGTGGGTGTCCCAAGGCCACTGCACCCCCCAGAGGGTTCACCTTCTCAGGTGGGAGTCGTAGCTTCTCCACACAGTAGGCAGCCTGGAAGGAGGCAGGTCATCACCGCAGCCCTCTTGCCCCCTCCCCTGCACCACCTGCCCGCTTGCTCCACCTGGACTGTCCAGGGCCAAGGCAACATGGAGAACAACAGCTCACCTGGCTCGCAAAGGCCTCGTTGATCTCAAAGATGTCCACGTCAGCCACAGTCAGCCCTGCAGGCAAGGTAAAGACCTGACCTGACACACTGGCCCTGTACCAGGACTCTGTGTTCCCTGGGCCTGCCCCATCCATGGGCCTTCAGGCTACCTGGTGTGTGTCTCTTCCAGAAGGGTGAGCCAATCCCAGCTGTGGGGTCAGGATGGGCTTTGAGTAAGGGACACTAGCCTGCCCACCTCCATTCTGCAGCACCCACAGGACCACCCCCATGCCCCTGGCAACAGCATGCAGGGCAGGTGCCGGATCCAGGCGGGACCCAGACAGCGATGTGAAGGAACCACCTTACCTGCTTTTTGCAAAGCTACCGGAATGGCATAGGCAGGTCCGATGCCCATGATGTCAGGTGGGACCCCAACCACTGCATAGGACCTCAGGACCCCAAGGATGGGAAGGCCCAACTCTTCTGCCTTGGACCTCCGGGCCAGCAAGATGGCAGCTGCCCCATCACTCACCTGGCTAGAGTTTCCTAGGGTCAAATTGTTGGGGTAAGGGATCAGAGTGGGGCCGAGGAGATCCCAGCCCTCCCACATCTACTCTGTCTGCAGAGGGGCCTGGTCTATTCCAGGCTCCCAGAGTACAGCACCCAGCATGGCCATGGCCTCCTTCCTCATACCCCCACCCCGGACCAGTCTCACCAGCTGTGGTAGAACCGTCCTTCTTGAAGGCAGGCTTCAGTTTGGCCAGCCCCTCCATGGTGGTGCTGGGGCGGATACCCTCATCCTGGGTCACAGTGATGCTCCTCTTGGTGCCCTTGTCATCATGGACCATGGTGGTCACAGGCACAATCTCAGCTTGGAAACAGCCCTTGCTCTGGGCTCTTGCTGCCCTGCCAGCACCATGGACAGCCAGACTCAGGCTCCCTTGGGGTTCCCTTCCTCCCTGCCCCCAACACCTATCCATTTGGGTAGACGCAAGCTTAGGCTGCTAAATTCGGGGACATGCTCAACTTTAGGGGAGCTCTGAGGGCATGGCCAAGACCTTACAGGGCCTTCTTCATCCTCAACCCCAGACCTCCAGATCGTGGCCAATCCCAACCTCAAAGGGGAGAAGGGTGTTTGGAGGGGTGCCCCCACTTACAGCCCTTTGTCCAAGAGGGACTAAGCCTGCTCCGTTCTCTCTGCTAAACTGAGGGTGGAACCCCAGAAATATTTGTGCTGGGTTCTGCCAACTTTTCTGTTCAAACCCAACAGTTCAAAGTCATCTATTCCCCAGTTTCCATATATTTAAAGTGACATATACTAAACTATTCAATGTATTTTTGTATTGAAAGAGTTTTAAAGCACAAGGTATTTGAGTGACCCTTGAAATCATGTGCAGCATATAAGTGCCCAGGGACATTCCAGTGGAAGGAATCCAAGGCTTCTGACACATTTTTAAATGGTTATGTGACCCCAAGCGGCCAAGAATCACTGCTTCAGAGAAGCACACCTGGCCCAGATACCATCCCCTGCTTTTGCTGTCCTCTCTGGACAGCCGGGACCTGCGCCAATCTTAGCCTGCCTGAGCCCCTGGGGTTTCCCTGATATCATCCCCAGTTCTTGCCATAGGATGCTGCCACAGACCCAGCATGGTCCAGAAGCTAGGATGCCAGGGTCCCTAGCATTGCTGGCCCCACACTCCAGGCTACCATGTCCAATCTCCAAACCACAGCCAGAAAAGAACACACGGGAAAACTGAGGCCTCACTAGGGCAAAGAGTCAGGGTGAACAGACCTGGAATAGAACCTGGAAGTGTTACCAACTCACAGTGGCCCTGACACTTCCCACTTCCCGCCCCCAACCTGGGAGGCCCGAGGCTTGGAAAGCACTTGCTGCCCAGCTGTAAGCACAGAAGGGCTCCACTTCAGATCACTTAGACAGGCTCCAAACCTCACTGCCCAGCCCTTTAAACAGTCCTCTCCAAGCAGTACTCACTTCTGCT